AGAATACTATTCATCTGACTTTGCACCCAAAAGCTCTTTATATTCTGCCTCCCATTTTCAGCTGTCACAATGTGTCAAAATCGCTATTCTTCTCTCTGGTATTTATGGCTAAAGGAGTCATTACTTGTCATCAGGGGGCCATCTGCACAGTGTCATTGGGTACTGACACATAGCCACTGTTTAAGCTCTGAGATAGTACATTTCTCAGAATAATGCCAGTACATCCATCTTCCACATTCCCCAAACAAGAAGATTGTTAATAACCATTAGACCTGCACAGTCACGGGAACAGGGGGTGTACCATGGTGGTATAGGGAACTGCCCTTTACAACAGAATCACGATGTTACAAACAGAAGTTAGATACTTTTTTTTTTTCAGATTTTAACTGTATATTTTATTGTATAGGACAGACAAATCTTGAGCAGGTGTGGTTAGGGAGTGAGGCATAGAGTGCTATCTCTGCATTGTGAGGATTCCTTTATGGGGGCTGCAGGCTAGATGCTGACCCTGTGACATGACAGAGCAGTGGCAGCGATTCCCAACCACTTGGAAATATCATAATCCTACATGCAGCAGTTACAGTAAGTGGAAATTTCCCACTTTGTTTTAAGTTCTGTATTTATTATTTACTTACTCACATTTTGGTTTATTTTATAATCTAAATTACCCATTGCTAATTCTGCTTCATATTCTGTAGTAATATCACTATTGACCCAAACTTTTTTCCAACTCAGATGCTACTGGCTTCTAAAATCATTTTAAGTTAGAGCACTGAACTTCAAATCACTAAATTGTCTAAGAAGCAGTTTGTAAGTACAAGTAAGGTGGACAGATGGACAGATAATTGGTTTCAAGGTTGGTGTTTCCTAATCCATCAATACAGGCATTTTCTTTAAAGCATGGAAGATGAAGAAAGACGTATTTGTGTTTCTTTCTGTGAGTTTTTTTGTTTTTTTATTTTTTTGTTTGGTTTGGTTTCGTTTGTTTTTTTTTTTTTTTTTTGCTGTTGTTAAGCACATGCTCCTTAATTCTGTCACTCGTTCTCTTACTAATGATAGAGATGCTAATGACTAATAGTGAATGGGATGTGGTCTTGGATCTGAGAAGAATGAGGAGTGCTTAGAGTGGCTGGGAGTCACGATGCATACACCCTCATGCTTGTACTGGGCTCCAGACACCCATGAGTGATAGCAGCTAGTTAGCATGTTTTAAAAGAAGTCAGGAGTCCACACCTCATGTGTATTCTTTTTCACTTTTAGGTATTGGTATATCATTTGGAGTTTGATAGGAGCCCATGGGAACTATATGTAAATGAAATAGACTGTGTGGGCTGGGTTTTATAGAGGATTTTATTGTGCTCTTATACTTTCATCATGTTCAAGAGAAGATTATGTAAGAATAAAAAGGGCACTAGTGCAGGCCAGAGAAGGTAGTCACAATGTTGGGCCATGGTGGGCAAATGTGCTGCCTTGATTTATTTGGTTAACACTGAGCTTGCCACAGGCGATGGAAAACTTACTCCTGGCTCTGACAGGATGTTTGCTTTCAGAAGGATTTTAGGAAGTGTTGATTTGTAAACAAAATCCTATTCCTAATAACAAACCAACTAAGACTTTTACCCAAGCTACCAGGAGCCCAGAGAAAGACATTTAAAGATTTAGAAGATTAGAAGATAAACTTAAAAAAAAAAATAGTTGTTGGGTGCCTGTGAAGTTCCTTGTCATACAAATCATGCAGTAAGACTTGTAAACCAATTACACAAACATACATTTCCAGAAAAGGCACTGATAATTTCAGTATCTTTCACTTCACACTATTATATTTTCATTGAGTGGATTTATAATTCAGTGATGGAAGCCCTGACATTGTCCTTTTTAACCACTGATGTTACATCTTTGACCTTTGGTGGGTTACATCATTATATTCCTTCTGAATTGCTAGGAAACATGGTTATACTAAAAACTCACAATGACTCTATCAAATATTTTATTATGTTATTTTTTATGTGGAATTAATAAGAGGAGAAGACAAGAAAAGGAACGGCAGATACATACAGCAAGATAATTACCAAAATGAAGCTGAGCTCTAGAGGGAAACAGTACCACAAAGGTGTCTGGAGTGAGATGTGGGGACTTCATGGAATGAGAACAATTCAGAAACCTACCTTGGTGTCTGAGATGAGTCAGAGTCAAGTAATGAAGCTTGGGACTCAAAGCTTTGTCTTTCCTGACCTTTCCAATGCTCTAGAAAGATGAAGCAGGAACAACAGCTTCCTAGCAGGAGAGTCGTGGGTGGCAGTTCCCAGTCCACAAGAGGGTCCAGAGGGCTTCTTGCACTAAACACACCTTCCCACAGCATCAAACTGATGAATTTCAAGCAACTTTTACCTGGAAGTGCTGAAAGTGTGAAGGTGTTCTGCAACCTGCCAAGAAGTCCAGTCAATATAGGTAGCAGCCCTGTAAGTAAGTCTTCCAGAGAATCATGAAGCTTACTTGGGAACAGCAGTAGTTATCTACAGGCATACACAAAGGAGCACTGGCCAGCACAGGTTTTTAAAGGCAGAAAATAAGAGATAGTTATGCAAGCTACTTCTGAGACAAAGTTCATTTGTCTTAGATTGAAACCAAAGAACTAGGGTAAGTTCATTGGTGAAGGTGCTATGCAGGGCGAGTGTTTTGTCTAAAACATCTTTGCTGCATTGTTGCAAGATCCAAAATGGTGAAAAACTGAACTCATTGCATGTATATAGATGTGATGCATGCGAATCCTGTGGTATATAGAGAAGTAATCACCCATCTCTTCTGTGGCTGCTTAAAAGATTTTGAAACAGTGCTTACCTCAGAGAGGCTTGAGCAAGCCCTTTCCCACTTCTCATTTTGCCTGAGAAGAATCATTTTATTTTTGTTTCAACAACTTTCACTGCCTCTAAACTTCAGGGCTCACAGCTATTTGCCACTGATTCTCCCATAAATAACATCCCCAGCTCGCAGAATGGGTAGTGATGTGGAGAGGGACACCTGACTGGGAGGAACATTGTCTTAGGCTTGAAGTACCAACTGTGATCAAGTGAGATGAAGCTAAAAACTGAGGCATTCATAAAAACAAACAGTGATGTTGAAAGGAGCTATTTCTATCATCTCTGATACTTTCATATTTTCCTTTACACATTTTATAAAGGAAGAATATTATTTCCATGCTTCTTACAGAAAAACATGCTGAAAACCCCACTCTTGTATGAGGGTAACCAATCCCTCAGGTATCAAATACACAGGTACATTGGTAGGCTTATAGGTGAGGATGGAGGCATCATATTATCATGATCTTGTGGTATTTGTTGTTATTTTGAACATTAGAAGTTTAGGGATTTTACTATTATTTCTATTTTAAATTAACATTCATACTTAGATGCATTCTTATTTGCGATATATTATCCCAATACTGATGACTCACAAAAGTATCCTGTTCAATATTCGCAAAATCTGAATCTGCCTCTGGTAAGAGAGGTAATGGGATGGCCAAACACCCTAATTGTTGTGCTAGAAACCTCATCCAACTACTGAGGGATCTGGATGCAGAGATCCATGACTAGGCCCCGGGTGGATCTCTGGGAGTCCAATTAGCGAGAATGAGGAGGGTTTATATGAGCGAGAATTGTTGAGACCAAGGTTGGATAAAGCACAGGGACAAATAGCCAAATGAATGGAAACACATGAACTATGAACCAATGGCTGAGGGGTCCCCACTGGATCAGGCCCTCTGAATGGGTGAGACAGTTGATTGGCTTGATCTGTTTGGGAGGCATCCAGGCAGTGGGACCAGATCTTGTGCTCATTGCATGAGTTGGCTGTTTGAAACCTGGGGCCTATGCAGGATTGTTTGGCTCGGCCTGGGAGGAGGGGACTAGAGCTACCTGGACTGAGTCTACCAGGTTGACCTCAGTCTGTGGGGAAGGCTTTGCCCTGGAGGAGATGGGAATGGGGGGGGGTTGGGGGGAAGGTGAGGGGGACGGGAGGGGGGAGAACAAGGGAATCCGTGGCTGATATGTAGAACTGAATTGTATTGCAAAATAAATAAAAAAAAAAAAAAAAAAAAAAGAGAGGTAAAATGAAACAGGGCCAGATAGACTGAGCTTGGATAAGCTCTGAAACCATCCATCAATTCGAAATGATGTTTAGTGATATGAATTGGTTGGGTAAACTCTAGAAGAATTTGAACTGAGAGGAGAGTGGTTAACAGGTTAAATCAAAATTAAATCCACAATACCATCCCTCCAGGTGCCATTGACCCTTGTACACTTAATGCCCTTTTTGCTGTTTGGCTCTACACAGCCCTACAATGACCTCATATTGTTTTGATTTCATTATTCTAAATAATCATTTTTACACATGTTTGTTCAGGACTAGGATGATTTTGTACAATGTCTAAATTCTTTTGACTTGCTTTTATATAGCTCCTATAGACTAGATATAATAACCATTCATAATGGTGTATAAGAAACGCAACATTATTGGGTAGGGTGTGAATCAATGCATTGATATTGGAGCCATCTTTGAAATGGCTTCGTGACAGTGCAACAGTCGACCTCTTATCCAGTGACCAATTGAGGACAATGACTTTGTCATCCCTAAGAATAATTCTCCTCCCCAAACAAGAACACACACAAGTCACAGACAGAGAAAATAAAGGGGATTTCCTGACCATAATGGCAGAGGCACCAATTAAATACAGTCATAGCATTTGTAACATAAATGTATTTCATTGACTCAGACATATAAAAAATGAGTTCTCCCTTAAACGTAAGATAAAAGGAGCTAGTTAACTGCAATTATAAAGAAAATTACTGAGGTCCAGACATGCAGATGAGGGTGTCCAAATGCAGAAACAATGATCCTATAAGAAGCCACACCCATTACTGAGAGTATATAAAGGTCCCAGAAAAGGAGTGATTTTCAAATTCAGTCATCTGTTATACTCAGCTCAACTTACACCTGCCATCAACATGTCCTACGGCTGCTATTCTGAAAACTTCTCCTCCCGTTCCTGTGGAGATCACCTGAACTACCCTCACTCCTCCTGTGGCTCCTCCTATCCCCGGCACCTGGTTCAGAGCACTAGCTTCTACTCTCCCAGAACCTGCCATCTGGGCTCCTCTCTCCACAGCGGATGTCATCAGAACTGCTTCCAACCCATCAGATGCCAGACTTCTCATGTGGTGCACAGTTCCTGCCAGCGTCCCTGCTACACCCCAAGGGTCTCCAGCTTCTGCAGCCCCTGCGGGACCACATATGCTGGCTCTCAGGGCTTTGGGTCCAGCAGCTGCCACTCTCTGGGCTATGGGTCTAGAAGCTCTTACTCACTGAGCTGTGGATCCAGTGGCTTTAGACCCCAGGGTTTCTCGTCACAGGGCTATGGATCTGGATTCTGCCACCCATCCTATGTGCCCTACAGAACCTGCCAGTCTTCTTGTTACAGACCAAGCTGTAGTACTAGATCTAGATTCTACTGATCTTCTTTCTAATTTCCAATCTTTCTGACCACTGTCACCAGTCCTGGATTCTTGGCTGTTGTTATCTTCCTTCAACTGGGAAGAACTATCTTCTCATTCCCTGATTTCCAACTCCTCACTTTCTCTCTGACCCCAGCTACTGGCTGACATATGTCCTTTGAGAACTCTGTAATTAATCTATTAACTCAAAAATAAAGTGTGCATTGCAAATGAAATTTATGGTGTTGAAATTCTTTCTAAATTTATGAATACTTAAAATTTTGGTTAATGAATATACTGATTTGCTATCCAGCCATGCCTGCTTTTGTGAGTTGTTTCCTGTATGCTTGTTTTTGAGGTTGTGAAACAGTGAATTGATTAACATTAAATGAACAGTATGCACAGGATTACAGAGTTTGAAGTTCCACTAAGCTGTGAATTAGATAAAAAAGTCTTATGTGCCTCAGATAATTTTCTTCCTTAAGAACATAAAGCAAAATCATACTCTTTGAAAGCATAGATTTTTTTATTAATTAAATCTCAGATGCAGAAAAAATGATTTCCATCAGTGGTGGGTTCTCGAGTCTATGCCAGCTGGTCTGACTAAGTTCTGTTAAGAAGGCAGAAGTCAAAATGTATTTGATTTTATGACTGTGGGTTCCCTTGTGCACTGGCAATAAATGTTTTGATTTGAATCTGAAATGTCTCCCATAGGCTCATGTCTTGAATGCCAGTTTAACAGGTGATAATCTATTTTAGGAGGCTGTGTAAACTTAATTAAGGGGGGGCCTACCTCAAAGCTATGCCTTTGAAGGTAATAGGTCAGCAATAGTGTCAGCCCTGCTGTCTGTATTTCCTTGTCTTCCACAATGTGAATTCTCATCATCTCATATTCCTAATTCCACAGGTAGACCCACTCTCCTGTGCTTCCCTTCAATGCTGGATCTGCAGCCCTATGAAAGGGTGAGTCTGTGTGAATCTTTCCCATACAATGTTCTGTCAAGTATCGGGACATGGCAACACTAAAATAAATACAGAGGAAATGAAAATTACTGCACCGATTATGGAAAATGGTATAGATTCTCCAAAATGGTAGAACTACCAGATGATCTAGCAGTTCCATCATTGGCTATATAGCTAAAGAGGATTCAATCAGTGTGCTTGAAAGACATAAATACAATACTTCTTACAGTACCTTAGAAGTAGAAGAATATACTGAAAAGGGACTGCAGAAAATGTGGTACATATCCATAGTTGAATTTTAGCCATTAAAATGATGAGATGCTATCCTTGAGACAATATGGATAAAAGTGGAGAACAATATGTTAAAGGGTATAAGCCAGACTCCAAAAAGCAAGTCCTGAATGATGTCACCCACATGTGCAATCTGAAAAGTTTGCTCTCACAGACACTGAATGTAGAGAGGTGATTCCCAGAGACTGTAGAGGGAAGGGTTGGGGTGGGGAGCCGGAAAAGGTTAGCCAGTGAGGAGTTAATTTACAATTTGATAATTACGAAAGTCTCATATGTAGACAGTTGTTAGTTACCCCCACTATGACACAATTGGTTATATCTTGCATGTTGGTAATAAAAAAGTAGGATTCTTGCTTGCTTTTCTCCATCGGCCAATAGACCTTTGGATACTATGAGAGGCAGTCCTCAGTGAGAAGTCCTCCAGGTCAGTTCCAACTCAATTCCTCTAAATCTTGTGTCTGAAACTTGAAGTGTCTTAAGCAATAGTGCCTTCCCTTCACATTAAGGAAGGCGACCAAAGGCAATGGCAATAGCTTGCTTCACAGGAATGTTCTCTTGTACTCCGTTATCAATTCAAAGGGAGGTTTACTTTGCCAGGCCCTGGGGAGTTGGTTAGTCTAGGGCTCTGGGGGAGAGCACTACTAACCCAAGTGTTAAACTTCATTTAAAGTATTTATATATGTATGTATGTATACACATACACTATATATTATACACTTATTTTTAGATGTAAAGCCTGTACAACAATAGGGAATTCATGCCTGGGACTGTAAACCTAATCAATTGATCATAGCTGATGATGAAGTCATGGACCCTAGAAGAGAACCTTCTATTGCCAATTTCCTAAACCACTATAATTTCCAACTGCATTCTAAAGATTTATACTTACATAAACAAATAAGTGTAGCTCTCTCCCTGCACCATCAAAGAAGTTTATTTTCAGGAAACAAAGACCACCACAGAAATTGACAACTGGTCAAAATGCAGAGAGCAACTGACTGTGGGAAGCCCATCCCAAACTGAAACATCTACAATATAACCTCTATGTTTAGGGCCTAGGGAACATCACAGATTTCATGTAACAGTTAAAATACATTTAATTTAAAAGCATACAAAGAAGCTATTTCCACCATTTACAGCCACCAAGATGGAATTAGAGTGTACTTTATTAAAGAAAATGACCAGACTTGGAAAGATACTCTAATTCACTTACATGTGGAATCTGAAAATGCTGATGACATAGAGTCAGAGAGCTAGAAGGTGACAGCCACGAAGAACACAAGGAAATGGAAGATGGCCTACAATTTGATAAACTAGAAAATTTTCTTTTAATGACACATTTCACTGAATGATAACCAAATTTAATACATAGTATATTGTTAAATTGTAAAATTACACAGAGTGTCCTCTTTGGATTTCATTTAAATTATTACTTAGATGAAGTTGAAGATAATGTCATTTATATCATTAGAGGTGAGCATTTCATATGCATTTTAGTAAAAAAATACTTTTTCATGGTAATATTGTCTAATTTATGTGCCAGGAAATTCCTGAAACAGATGTGAAGATAGATAGCTTAAGATAAGGTGCCTATAACTGATAAAATAGATGATTCATGCAAGTTCCCATAAATGCCCCCACCATTATTCCTTTATTTTATATAGCTGTCTTAGTCACCGTTTCATTGCTGTGAAGAGACACTATGACCAAAGCAACTCTCATTAAAGAAAAGGAAGCATTTAATGAGGTGCTTGCTTACAGTTTCAGGGGGTTAGTTTATTATCATCATGACAGGTAGACTGTCATCCAGGCAAGCAGGTATGGTGCTTGAGAAGTAGCTGAGAGTTTTACATCCAGATCCATACAGAGAGAGAGAGAGAGAGAGAGAGAGAGAGAGAGAGAGAGAGAGAGAGAGAGAGAAAGAGAGAGAGGAAGAGAGAGAGAGAGAGAGAGACTGGGCCTAGAGTGGAATTTTGAAATCTCAAAGTCTACTTCCAGTTACATACCTCCTCCAACAAGGACACACTTCCTTAATCCATCCAAACAGTTCCACTTAGGACTAAGCATGCAAATATAAGAGTCTATGGTTGAGGGAGGAATGGCTGTTCTCATCCGGTCTACCAAAAGAGCCCTAGAGAAAAATAAAAATCTTAATAAGAAGCACTATAAAATGACAAGAATATCTGCCTTGCATTAAGACTCAAAATAACAAAACAAAGTAAAATCCAAATATTAAAATTTTTGCATGCTGACTCATACATGTGTTCTCAACACTTAGGAAGCTGAGGCGAGAGAATTGCAGTGAAATCAATACCAGCCTAGCTATATAGTGAATTTTAGGACAGGTCTGGGCAGCGAGACACCATATCAAAAAACAGAAAGAGCAACAAAAAAGCAAAAGTAAAAGAAATACCATGTTATTTGAATTATCCAGAAATGGAAAACCCCCCAAATCATTGTATGTCTTCCCTCACTTTATCTGTTTCTTTCTTTGAGTACCATCATCCATATTCAAATTGGTAACCAGTTGACCTTGTTTCAAGTCAAAAGTCTTTAGTCATTTTGCCTTTAAATAGTCTTTGTTTATAAGTGTGACCCATCACGTTTCTCATTCAATTTATCTTACCTGTTTTCCCATTAAACTGGATTCTAGAAACAATATAAAACGTATTTTAGAAATGGAAAATCATTGTTGGTAAATTGAATATTTTTATTCAACTCAAATAAAAGGGATGACATCATTGCAGTCTTCACCGTAGGCAAAAACCAACCTTTGGTCACATTATAGATAAATACACAGCCAGGTTTCACCAGGGACAGGACAGGGACATTTCTTTCCATGACTGGGTGCCATTAAAGCCATAGAGTACCAACAGTTCTGACATGGCGGCATCTAGTTTGATCAGTGCTAAAACAATACAGTAAACTGGCCTGTAAATAAAAAGTGAAGAATGATATTCATCTGCTCTTTCAGAAAAGGTATTGAGGGACACATTTAGAAATGAAAAATTGCATGTCAGCCATGATGGCATATACCTTAAACCCAGCTTTAAAATGCAGAGGCAGGAAGATATTGATTTATAATAAATTTTGCGGGGTAAATATTGAGATGTTGTCTGAAAGGAAAGAAGGAAGGAAGGGGGAGAGAGAGAGAGAAAGAGAGAGAGAGAGAGAGAGAGAGAGAAAGAGAGAGACAGACAGACAGACAGAGACAGAGAGAGACAGAGAGAGACTCCTAAATAAGGGCTAAGAACATAAATGATTCCTAATCCAGAAGTCATTAAAATCAGAATCTTAGTTATATCCAGCTGAGCTCACACCTGCTCTCAAGGTGGCATACAACTTCTAATCTGAAGACTTCTCATCCCCCACCATTAGATACTGGCTGACTCCCTCAGTTTCTTCCAGTGCCTCTCTGCCCCAGCAACCTGGTCTACAGCACTAGCAGTTGCTCTGACATGACTAAGACCACACCATTCCATTCTGATCCCATTGTGTGTTTGCTTAGACAGTTCTCAGCCCCCTAGCTCCTTCCCCCAAACACTCGTATCTGCCTTGGCAACACATTTGAGGTTTCCATGCCATGGTCCAGATGTACTAACCAAAATAACCTGCAAGTTATCTCTAAAATAGCTACTATGCTCTGCCAGGAACAAGAGTTTCAAGCTTATCTTGACCCTCATGTAACTGTGATGTATTTTTGTGGATTTCGCCTTTAAGAACTCTGTATCCCTGAACTTGGCAGTGGGAGACTTTTCAGAAGCCCA